TGTTAATTGTTGTGCTTGTGTGACCCTCCCCATGGTCACACTCAACACCCTGCGCTCATACCTTAATTTGCATTGTTTGGCTTTACTCTTCTTTTTACTACAAATGGTGCCATTACAGTATTTCATCATAGCACTAGGTGGCAGTCAATAAAACACAAGGTATCGTCTAGAGATGTATGTGATACGGTATTCAAGCAATGCATGGAGAGGGTATGTGGCCAGGTGAGGGGAGCTATGTGGATAGAAGACTGTCTTGCAAGAAAAAGTCTGGAAGGGGGGAAGGACCAGCTGCTTGGGAGCTTCAGATGACTAGAATAGCAGCAAGAAGTAACCATAATGAAGAGAGTTATAAGGAAAGGCAGCAGAATAAGGCAGGGTGTTTGGAGCTGTGGCATCTACTTTGGCAGAGAATTGCTGCACATTAAGACGTCAGCACTGGCATTTCCTCTTGGGCACTGAGTTGATGTACAATAGCAAATGATTACCCTGACACCTTAACCGACGGTCATTTGCTAATGGAATTTACACCGATTGCTTTACGCTGGCAGGTGTAACAGGGTTCTGGCCGCTGGATTCAAAATGTGACACTCTTCCTGCAATCCGGATTGGTGCAGTCCACACCACAGTTCATACTGCAGGAAGAATGGATTTATAGAATCATAGAAAAGTGAAGTTGGAAGGGGCCTACAAGGCCATCAAGTCCAATCACCTGCTCAATGAAGGAATACAATCAAAGAATATTTGCCAGGTGATCATCTAAGTTTTTCTTAAATGCCTTCAGTGTTGAAGCACTCGCCAACACCCGAGGTAATTGGTTCCACTGTCGTACTACTCTAACAGTTAGGAAGTTTTCCCTGATATTCAACCAAAATTTGGCTTCCTTTAACTTGAGCCCATTGTTGTGTGTCCTGCATTCCGGGATGATCGAGAACAGATCTTGCCCCTCTTCTCTATAAAAGCCTTTCAAACATTTGAGAAGTGCTATCATATTACCCCTTAGCCTTCTTTTCCCAAGGCTAAACAGGCCCAATTTTTTCAGCCTTTCCTCATAAGGCTTCATTTCCATTCCCCTGATCATCCTTGTCGCCCTCCTCCGAGCCTATTCCAATTTGTTAGCACCCTTCTTGAAATGTGGTGTCCAGAACTGGACACAATACTCAAGGTGAGGCCTAACCAGTGCTGAATAGAGGGGGACCAGCACCTTGCGGGATTTGGAAACTATACTTCTATTAATGCAGCCTAAAATAGCATTTGCCTTTTTTGTAGCCACATCACACTGTTGGCTCCTATTTAGCTTGTGATCTACGAAAATTCCAAGATCCTTCTCAGTCGTAGTTTTACTGAGCCAGGTATCCCCCAGGTATACATTATTGAAACAGCACTGTCTACGTTGGCTTGGGCACGTCGTGAGAATGGCTGATGGTCGGATTCCAAAAGATCTCCTGTATGGAGAATTAGTGCAGGGAAGCCATCCCCGAGGGAGACCACAGCTGCGTTACAAGGACATTTGCAAGCGGGATCTGAAGGCCTTAGGAATAGACCTCAACAGATGGGAAACCCTGACATCTGAGCGTTCATCCTGGAGGCAGGCACTGCATCACGGCCTCTCCCAATTTGAAGAGACCCTTGTACAGCAGGCCGAGGCAAAGAGGCAGTCCCGAAACAAGCAAAACCAGGGAGCTGGACAGGGGACAGATTGTATTTGTCTTCAATGTGGAAGAGGTTGTCACTCTCGAATTGGCTTTCTCAGCCACACAAAGCACTTTTCCAAGGCCTCCATACAGAGCACGTTACCATAGTCTCTCGAGACTGAAGGATGCCTACATATCTCCCATCTTGTAACTGTGTAATTGGTTTCTTTTTCTGAGCTGCAGGACTTTGCACTTATCCCTGTTGAATTTCATTCTGCAGCTTTCGGCCCAGTGCTCCATCCTATCAGTCATTTCGAATTTTGTTTCTGTCTTCTAGGATATCAGTTATTCTGCCCAATTTAGTACCATCTGCAGATTTGACAAGCATTCCCTGCACTTCCTCATCCAAGTCATTAATAAAAATATTGAAGAGCACCGGGCCCAGGACTGAGCCTTGGGGTACCCCACTTGTTGCCCCCTGCCAGTTAGAGAAGGACCAATTAATCATCTCAGTACGATTCTGTAGCCAACTGTGTATCCACCTGACACTTTTTCTATCCAGCCCACACCTAGTTAGCTTGCTAATCAGGGTATCATGGGGCACTTTGTCAAAAGCTTTGCTGAAGTCAAGATATGCTATGTCTACAGCATTCCCTCTGTCTATCAGGGAGGTGACCTGATCAAAAAACGGGATCAAATTAGTTTGACAGGATTTGCTCTTGACAAATCCGTGTTGGCTTCTAGTTATTACTCCATTGTCTTCTAGGTGCTTGCACAATGACCGCTTTTTGTCCAGTGTCCAAAGCATGGTGGCCCTTTGATCAATAAGCCTTTCTCTCACCATCTTCAGTCATTAATTCACTTATTTTGTCACTTTTAAACAGAAAGACGTTTACCATAGCTGCTTCCGAACGGCCTGGCCTTTCAAGGTTTCCACATTGAAATTGTTAGTATTCGCTGGCATTATGAAGAACACAACAACTGTGACATCACTCCTGTGCACCTGAAAGAAGAAAAGAATCCTATATGGGTGGGGATAAGAAGATTTGCCCCTTCACCTTGCAGAATCATAGCCCGGTCTTGCCTACACTGACCAGGGACAGAGGTCCAATATTTCACCCACAGGATTCTTTCCCAGAATTTCCTGGAGGTGATGTGGAATGAATCTATGATCTTCCACATACTTTGGGGAGGGTATATTAAAATCGGACAAGATTCTTGCACCATTAAGACTGACTTTGTCATGCAAACCCCACCTGACCAAATTCCCTCTTCTACAAAACTATTTAAGGTCTGGGAGCTTTGTCATTATTTTCCTGGAGCCATACTATTCGCACTACCAATTAAGCCACGACATATAACTTATTTTTCCTTGCCCTGCTCTACCATCTTCTCCATCTAAAATTTTGGTTGGGTAAGAATTCCCAGTATTAATGCTCAAATAAAAGCATGCTTACTTTGTCAGAATCTTCAATTTATTCTACCCCTCTGTATTATGATGTGCCCTGAACGTTTAAAAAGAAACCTGCAATATTGGGTGATACGATTTTACATATGAGTGCCTCAACTAGAGTTGGGCATGGATTGCTTTGTGTTGGGTCATCAACACCCCCCCGTCAAGTCAGTTCCCCCACTCACAAGCTTGTTCCCTCCTTGTTGTGCAATCTTTCCATTCCAGCAGCAGCTTCCTTTCTCAGCCTCCTCCAGCAGCTGCCCACTCAAGGGCAGTACCTGCAGGAATCTCTGTCCTACCTCCTCATCTGAGGGGGTAGCTGCTGGAAAAAGGAAAGTCCATGTTCCAGCTGGAACCAGGAAAACTGCACAAGAAGAGAATGATGAGCAGTGTGCGCCGGCTTGTGAGTGGGGGAGCTGACAGGGGGGAGGGAACACACAGCACCCGTGGTGTTGTGCCTACGACTTAGGCAGAACCAGCACGAAGCGATTCGTGCCCATCTCTAGCCTCAATTGTTTCAAAAGGGTTTTTCTTTTAAAAAAAGAAAAAAAATCATTACTGCTCCGTGTGTGCCAGCAACAGCAGTTTATTTCCTTTTGGGCTTGGTGATACGAATGCATTCTCCATCTCTGAAGGATGCCCCACCTCCTTATTTGCACAACCACAATCAGCACGGTTGGGAAAGACCCCCTGCTTGAGACCCAGATGAATGAGCCCCAATATGCACCTGCTGTAAAAATGCCAAATCCTATGTTTGGATCATTAGGCAAGGAATGGAAAATGAAGCTATGACTAGCACAATGTCTTTAGATGAACATATATGGCAACTACACTTTGAATATGGTCTAGAGTTGTGGTTCTAAGGTTATCCAGAGAAATAAAATGACACTCCTACTCTAATTTTCACTTCCTCATGACAAATGGCAAAAGTCTTGGCTAGAGATGGGGTTATCCGTATTCCTATATGAATACCCCCACACAAGTGGGCATAATAAGGGTCCACTCACCGATCCACCGCAGCCATGACCTCTGTGATCCTTTCAATGGCTCCGGAGATTGTGATTGGCTCACCAGTCCTGGCAGGAGGCGGGATGACAAGCCTCTTGGCCAGGTCGAAGAGTCGCTCGCCAATCACGAGCTCCAGAGACATTGGAAGGATCACAGAGGTCACAGCAGTGATGGATCAGTGAGTGGACTGTCCGACCCCATGGGGCTGGACCCTCATTATGTCCACATGTGGGGGTATTCATTTTCGAATAGCCCCATCTCTAGTCTTGGCATCACACTGCCACTCATTAACAAGGGGCTGGTTGCGTTCCTGAGTGTACACCAAATCACACAGTGAGGCAAATGCCCAAGAAGCCAAAAAGCAACTTCTTAAAGGGCAACAACTTGTCACCAAGACTTGTGCCATTTCCCTCGCACAAGAGTAGATTGGCAATACAATTGTGGGATAGTGGTTCCCAATCTAGAGCAACCCGGGTATTCTTGGACTGCAACTCCCAAAAAACTGGGCAGAAGAGCTGCTGGTGGTGGTGAAGGCTTCTGGGAATTGTAGTCCAAGAACACCTGGGTGACCCAAGGTTGGGGACTACTGTCCTAGGATATTACCATGTGTCCACAGTATTATGACATAATTAACACCAATGCTTGCGCAATTCATGTAATAGGTATAACATCCTGGAAAATAGGATTTGTAACTTGTAAGCTGTGGTCGTACTTCTGAAGACCTAGAGAAACCACACAAACAGGTACAGGCAGTGCGAGCTGGCTATTAAACACCATTCTATGCCTTACGGATGGTCAAGCAAAATCATGGAAAGGCAGCATGGAAAAATATGCTAGCAACATGCAAATAAACAATGTCAGCAAAGGTTAAGGCTGGAGCAATGCCGCCTTTGAAGTGCAGGTTACAACCTCTTGGGATGACGAAGGGTATTCAAAGGTGTATCTAGCCCAAACAGGCATGACCTGGGGACATGGAAAGAGATAGCAACCAGGCAAAATGCCTCTGGTTGTAAAAGATGAAGATTAAGAGTGAAATCGATGACAGCAGCTCTAGCTCAGCTTATAGCCCTGCCTCGAGCAAAATTGCACCTTGCCTGCTATGAAAAATCTGCATGACATTTGGCAGGCAAAATTGCTCTGATCCACTCTGGCTTGGATGCTGATGCTGGTCCTGTGAATGTAACAATGGCCCCTGCTCTCTTACATGTTCACAGATGGGTTTTTTGCAGCCCGATTAGGTGGATAGGACTCATGGACAATGTGAAGGCTACCCACCGCTTGTTAGATCTTTGCCCATCCTGGCTTATAAAAGCTTCCAGAGAGGGACTGGTCGTGTGGGACAAGGAGTGGGGAAGACCTCCTTGCAGTAGGGGAGGATCCTAGCATCCTTAAAGCTCCTTGGATCCCCCAATATTGGATAATTACCAGCCGGTCTCTAATATTCCATTCTTGGGCAAGGCGCTGGAGTGGGTCATGACTTCTCAGCTCCAGGAGTTCCTGGAGGAGAAGTATTATCTAGATCCATTTCAGTCTAGCTTTGAGCCTGATTATGGGATGCAGACTCCTTTGGTCACCTTGGTGGATGACCTATGGTGGACA